ATGCAACTCCCAAATACCGGAGGAACACTTTGTGTGCTACCAAACGTCACAACGTAACTGGGTGATTATAAAGGTGCTCTACAGGTGTCTCTGATGGTGTTTGTTGAGTTGGCATAGATCGAGATTAGGATATGTCACTCTGATTGTCGGAGAGGTATCTCTGAGCCCTCTCGGTAATGCACATCAATATGAGCCTTGCAAGCAATGTGACTAATGAGTTAGTTGCGGGATGATGCATTACGAAACGAGTAAAGAGACTTACCGGTAACGAGATTGAACTAGGTGTTGAGATACCGACGATCGAATCTCGGGCAAGTAACATACCGATGACAAAGGGAACAACATATATCGTTATGCGGTTTGACCGATAAAGATCTTCGTAGAATATGTGGGAGCCAATATGAACATTCAGGTTCCGCTATTAGTTATTGACCGGAGACGTGTCTCGGTCATGTCTACATAGTTCTCAAACCCGTAGGGTCCGCACGCTTAAACGTTCGGTGACGATCAGTATTATGAGTTTTATGTGTTTTGATGTACCAAAGGTAGTTCGGAGTCCTGTATGTGATCACGGACATGACGAGAAGTCTCGAAATGGTCAAGACATAAAGACTGGTATATTGGATGACTATATCCGGACACCAGATGAGTTCCGAGGGTCACCAGATAATTATCGAAGTGCCGGGGGGTTATCATAACCCCTGGGGGAACTAATGGGCCAACATGGGCCTTGTGAGAGAGAGAGGAGGGCCATAGGGCTGGCCGCCCCCCCTTGGGAGTCCGAATTAGACAAGGAAGGGGGGTCGGCGCCCCCTCTTCCCCTCCCTCTCTCCCTCTCCTTTCTTCTCCCTCCCTCCTCCTAATTGGACTAGGAAAGGAGGAGTCCTACTCCTACTAGGAGGAGGACACCTCCCCCTCCTTGGCGCGTCCCAAGGTCGGCCGGCCTCCCTCTTGCTCCTTTATATACGCGGGCAGGGGGCACCCTAGGACACACAAGTTGATCATTGATCCCTTAGCCGTGTGCGGTGCCCCCCTCCACCATAATCCACCTCGATCATATCATAGCGGTGCCTAGGCGAAGCCCTATTCCGGTAGCATCATCATCACCGTCATCACGCCGTCGTGCTGACGAAGCTCTCCCAGGACACTCAGCTGGATCGAGAGTTCGTGGGACGTCACCGAGCCGAACGTGTGCAGATCACGGAGGTGTCGTACTTTCGGTACTAGGATCGGTCGATCGTGAAGATGTACGACTACATCAACCGCGTTGTCATAACGCTTCCGCTTACGATCTACGAGGGTACGTGGACAACACTCCCCCCTCTCGTTACTATGCATCACCATGATCTTGCGTGTGCGTAGGATTTTTTTGAAATTATTGCGTTCCCCAACATGTAACAAGTGGCATGGGATTTAGGAGGCGGTCATTGCTCGCCCGGAGAGCGGCGCCAACGTCGAGCGTCTGGTATGTCCATGGCTCACCGGCCTAGCTCTTCGTCGTGTACTTCACCGACACTTGTTCTTCGTCTGTGCAGATGGTCCGAATGTTCGACATGTTTCGCTAGGACAACAACGACCTGAAGTTCAAGTTCCTTCATGTCTTAACCAGGATTGAGTCATGCGAGAAATGGACAAAGTGTCGGCTCGCTCTCGCCAAGACCAAGGATGGTGTCTACAACCTGGACGCGCCTGCCTCAGCGGCGACATAAGGGCGTCTTGATGGCAACAAGAAAGCCAAGGCGACGAGGGACTCGGCTCTCGCTGCCGAACGGCTGCGGTCGTTGATAGAAACAGTGCATCGCCGACGCCAGGAGCCACGCCGCCAAGAGGGAGGAGAAGTCCGAGGCGAGGTGGTCGGCTTTGATGACGAAGCATGACGTCAAGCTCGATCTTCTTAGGACCAACGTCGCTGCGAAGAAGAGAAAGACCGACATGGCGCTCCTGATGGGAGCATACATGGCGACAATGGATGAGCAGGTGAAGACGTGGTACTTGGCGGAGAACGACCTCATCTTGAACCAGATGCTGGGACCGGCGGCGACCACTGCCACGCCTACGCCTACGCCCACCACTGCAACTACGCCCACGCCAACGCCGAGCACTGCAACTGTGCCCACGCTTACGCCGAGCTCTCCCACCCCTATGGTAGAGGAACCTATCGTTTGAGTTCCATGTCTATGGTTCCTACCCTTTTGATCGCCGGACTTTGGCTATGTTCGATTGTCGGCCTGTGGCATGATGATCGCCAACCTATGGCATGATGATCGCCGAACCTATGTCATTTTTTGGTAGCGGGAAAGAGAACTTTAAATTTTTGTGCGTTTGGGGGCCGAAACTTGTGGACGCGGCTGGAAACGTGAGCCCCACGAAGCAAAAAAAAACGCCGGCGCAAACGCACAAAGGCCTTTGCCGGGTACGCTGGAGGGCCAAACGACTAAAGATGCTCTTAGTAGCAAGCCGGTGTCGTCAGGAGGAGGGGCACTCGCAGGCCGAGGAATAGTGAAAGCCCATGGTGCCGAGGTTCCGGGCCGGGCACCACAGCGTACAGAGCAGCAAAACCCTTTTTCTCTTGGGCCGGGCATAGGCAAACTATAGGACAGCGAGACACAGGAAGAAAAACCAAGGCTAGTACGTTATGCGATGTGCGGTTCGCTCAAAAATGGTACTCCCTCCGTAAACTAATATAAAAATGTTTAGAATACTAAAATAGTGATCTAAACGCTTTTATATTAATTTACAGAAGGAGTACACCGCTACCAGACACTATGCTTTTGTACAGGAGGCTGCTAGTCTGCTGCAGCTTTCCTTTTCTTTTCGTCATGTGCACGTCTTGTATATATCTCCAAAATGATCCTTCTTTAGTAAAAACTAGCATGTGGACTAAGTATATTTTCTCATATATTTTGCATACAATTAAACTACTGGTAATTACTTTTAAAAATTTGGTTATAAATCTTTCTGACAATTGCGTGCAACAACCCAGGAAGCAGTACGAAATAATGTGGGAACTCGGCACAATTAAAAATCGGAAATGTTAACGCCTATACGTGTGGGCATTTGCATTTCGCCCACACGCGTGGATCCATATCCGTTCGTGAGCGCACGAATCTTGGCATGTTTCTAGTGCCACGTAGGACTGGCCTGGTGTGTGGGCGTTCAGCCGGTCGCCCACACGGCCGTTTCACCACATAAGAGGGGCTGGTGTGTGGGCATTCAGCAGTTCGCCTACACGCCGCTTTGCACGCACACACAATGGCTAATGTGTGGGCATTTGCCATCTCGCCCGCACGCCCGTCTCCTCTCACACACCCAAGCTGCTAGTTGGCATGTGTTTTGCAGTGCACATGGCAACTGCCCTTAGTGTGTTTTATAAGCAGGTGGCAACTCTCTTTTTTTACCCGAGTTTGCCATGTGTTTTGCAGGATACACGACAACTGCCTAGTATGCACGTAAGTAGATGACAACTCCCTTTTATCGAGTTGCCATATGTTTCTGCATGGTACATGGCAACTGCCTTAACGTGCATGTACATGGCAACTGCCCTAACGTGCACGTAAGCAGATGTCAACTCTTCCTTTTTACATGGAAACTGCCCTAGCATGCTTGTGAGCACATGGCAACTCTCTTAACTGCCTAGTGTTAGTATGTGGCAACTCCTAAAGTTATGAAATCATGGCAACTACATTAGATCAGACCATACATGGCAACTGCAGTTGAACAACCATGACAACTGCAGTTGTCCGACATGGCAACTGTAGTTCAGCGACATGGCAACTGCAGTTAAACGAACATGAACGAGGGTCTGGACCATGGCAACTGCGGGCGCGTGGTGACCGTCACGCGTGGCGTGCGGGACCAGGAGGTACGAGGCCTGACATACGGACGTGTGGGCGTTATCAACTTTGCCCACGCACACGCGTGTGAGAGGGATCGGGAGGAAAAAAAGGCGTGTGGGCGCTAGTTGTTTTGCCCACGCATAGATGTGTGAGCTGTTCCTCTTATACACCACACAAAATGTGTGGGCGGACTCCCTAACACCCACACGTGTGGCACTTATCGGCGTCCTTAAAAATAGCAAGCATGGCAAATATTTTCCAGCAATTATTTCTAAATACCTCGGGAAGCGGTAAAAATAACAACTTGGCACAATTTAAATATGACAAGCATGATAAATCTTGGCACAATTAAAATATGACAAGCGTGATAAATCTTTCCGGCAATTGAGTGTAAATGACCCGGGAAGCAGTATGAAATAATGTGGCCACTCGGTACAATTCAAAATGTCAAGTGTGACAAATATTTTCCGGCAATTATGTGTAAACAACTCGAGAAGCGGTAATAACTTGACAACTTGGCACGATTAAAAATGGCAGGCATAAAAAATCTTTTCGGCAACAAACAACCCGGGAAGCTCTATGAAGAACGACAAAGCATAATAATTCTTTCATTCAATTGCGTACTTGGCATAATTAAAAATAACAAGAAATCATCCAGCCCAATATATTTGTTGCACTCTACTCCTTCCGTCCCATAATATGAGAACATTTTTTAAGCTAACATAGTTTGAAAAACATTTTTATATTATGGAACAGCCGGAGTAATACTTTGCTCGCAGCTAAAAACTTCATTTCTCCCACAGGAAAAGTCCATTTCTCCTTCGAAACTACTGCACACACGATGAATAGTTTGTACGTCCACTGAACGACGCGATGACCCAACAACTGGACACAATTTAAAAAACTTCATTTATCAAGAGGGGTAGGTGCGGTTTCGTTTCCATCCTAGTGTGTCCTCCTGTCCCAACAGGCATTTTCGGCACCAGTTGACGATTACTACAGTACTACTGTATGATTTATGGAGGATTGGCCAGTTGGCGAGTTTTGATTAGAAATAAGGGGAGGAAGTTTACGTAATTGACCGGAAGTAGGTGTAGAATGATTGGACGTAAGTCTAACATTGCCCTTTGTCATGTGAGCCCATGTTCCCCACCCATGCCATCTTCAATGCATCCTCGTTGCTCCCAGGAAGCTCTCGAGCGCCTTCTTCGATGACCCAACGTCGCCCGTAGCTGCGCCTCTCATCAACTCGCCGATGCACTTCATCCGTCTCCGCATCTCCGCCGCCTTGGACGTCTGCCCCATCACCGTCTCGACCAGCTCCGCCACCCTGTCAATCTCAGGCGGCGCCGCGTTCTCCGTGCTCCCCCTCGCCACCTCCACGCACACGCCGCACTCCTTCTCCAACATCTCCACGTTGTAGAACTGGTCGGCGGCGAGCGGCCATCCGAGGAGCGGCACGCCGTGCACAAGGCTCTCCAGCACCGAGTTCCACCCGCAGTGCGAGAGGAACGCGCCCGTGGAGCGATGGGCGAGGATAGTCACCTGCGGAGCCCATCCACGGATGACGAGCCCTCTGTTCTCGTCGCGCGCTCTCTTCTCGAATCCTTCCGGCAGCCACTCGCTCGCCGCGACGGCGAGCCCCACAGGCGGCCGGATAGCCCAGATGAACGGCCGTCCGGCGTGCTCCAGCGCCATTGCCAGCACCGCCATCTGCGCCTGCCGGATGGAGTTCTGGGACCCGAACGACACGTAGAGCACCGAGGCCGGCGGCTGCGTGTCCAGCCAGCTTACCATGCCGTCGTGCACTTTGTCGGCGGAGGCGGCCGGTCTTGCGCCGGCGACGCGGATGAGAGGCCCGATGGGCCAAACCGGGACGCGCAGGCTGCTCCGTAGCAAGCCCAGCCCCGTTGGCTCGAACTCCTCCACGGTGTTGATGAGCACCCCGTCCGTCGCGTGGCTGTGAGCTATCTGCCGGTGACAGAAAGCCGACGCCCGGTCCTCGCCGTCCGCACGGAGCATGACCTCGGATACCTGCGTCTTGTGGAAGATCTTGCCGGGGAACCCGGGCACGGGTACGTGCCCGGTGGGGGTGACCGAGAGCGGCACGTTCTCCCACAGTGAGCGCAGGATGGCCGTGCCGAACGCGCCACACGAGGCGAAGAAGGCGTGGGAGCACCCGTTCCTCCGCGCGACGCTGGCGGCCCACGCGACGAACAGGTCGGAGACGATGGAGACGACGGAGTCGTCCTTGGCCATGCTGGCCACGTAGCCGTCGAAGGCGGGCTGCAGAGCCTCGAAAGCTTCGAAGAGGGTGACCAAGGGGAACCCGACGGGGAGGGCGTCGGCGGACTCGGCGTGGGTCGGCAGGCCGTGGTCGGCTGGGTTGAAGGGGAGCGAGTGGAACGCAAGCCATGGCGGCGCCGTGGCGGAGAGGGCAGCGACGTTTCGAGGGGGGGAGACCAGAGTTACGGCGGCGGACGGGATGGCGCGGTGGAGGAGTTCGGCGAGGGACATGAACGCCCCGAGGTGGCCTTGGGCCGGGAACGGGAAGAGCAAGACGTGTTTGGTGCTGGCCATTGCTAAGGAAGAAGGAACGGTAAGTGTGAAGTTTGACATGTACGGTACCCAAATATAAGGACCTTTTTGACACCTTACCCGTGGACTTTTAAAATTGTCGAGGTGTGAAAGGAAGTAAATTAATCAAGGGACCACCAAATAGACTCTGATCCCGCAGCTACCTCATAGCACATCAAAGGAATAAAATGATTCCGCTGCTGTCCGTGTTTTATTTAGTGTATGTATGCTTTTTTTTTAAGAAAAAAGAGGCATAGCTGAATTTATATATAAAGCCAACGGGTATCAAGGTGGCAATCTCTATCTCTATCTCTATATATTTATATCCTTACCTAATCTTTCCCTATATATATATATAGGAAAATCCATCCTACCACCCGGTGGTAGTTACCCCACATATCTCATATACTATCATGTGGTACTACATATACTACTTTATCATTTTAAATATATTCATATACTATATCTAAGATATTTCAAAGCAAGTTACATGAAAAAATTACATAAAAACACATAGTTTTTGTTATATTTGTGAAATACGTACATATTTGTACGTAAAAAAGAGCATACTCAAAACATTGTATATACTACCTAAAAATTAATATATATACTACCTAATCATTGTTATATACTACATACTAAACGTACATACTCTCAATTTTGACACATACTACATACAACATACAAAACGCAAGTGGTGGTAACTACCACTGCTTGTAGGAAACATTTGTCCTATATATATATATATACTACTTAAAAAACGAGCAACATTCCCATTTCGCTCGCCTCCTTCGTCTAACCTCCACATCCCCTTCCCACGTAATGAATCCCCTTCACGTTAGTTTTTTTTCCTTAGTAGACCCTCCCTCCATGTTTGTTTTTTTCCTTAATAGACATAATTAAAACGGCTTTTATCTACTATCACTATAAAAGAAAAAAAAAGCGGAGAATCAAATCATCCTATCCATCGAAACCTGTAATCTGATGGTCTACATCCCTTCAGGATACTAAACGCGTTTTACGCTTTAATTATCCATCATGCCATTACTTAATTAATTGCCAATCATTGCCATTGAGTTAAAATCGTTCCCCGACCACGTCGCTAGCAACCAGCAGTTTTGGCCCGGCCCAACCACAACCCCATGTCGCCCGCCCAGCAGTTTCGCCCGCCCCGCGCCGCGCCGTCCGCCGCGCCCGTGCCGTCCGCGCTCCATTCGCCAGGAAGCCCGCGCCGACCCGCCTCGACCGCCGCCGCGCCGTCCGCCTCGACCGCCAGTGCGCCGACCCGCCTCGACCGCCGCCGCGCCGTCCCGCCTGGTCCACCGCGCCGTCCGCGCTCGAGGCGCCTGGACCGCTGCGCCGTCCACGCTCCATCCGCCCGGACCGCCGCGCCGCCAGGACACATCAACTGAAGATCGTGGGGGTTGCCGATGGTGGAGCTGATGGCAGTTGCCTCCTCCCCCCTCCCCAAAAGGTGCAAACTCTCGAACGTCTCCCTCATTCCCCTCTTACCTACTCATTCGTTCTTCCATCGGCGCCGCAGCAACAGTGGAGGCGGAGCGGCCCACGGGTTCCTGGCTTACCTGCCACGCGGCGAGGCAGCCGCGGCCGGACTAGGAGCCTCGACATCTAGGATTCGCAGGCCGTGGTCGACTTCTGCTCCGAACATCACAGGTCGGTATTACTTCACACTTGGCCCCCCTCCAGAATAAAAATAAATCAATGGATCGAGCTTTTTTGGTAATTTGATGACACCACGAGCAGTAATCGTGTTTGAAAGCCAAAAACACAGAATGTGTAAACTGTTTTGATGTACTGTCAGTTTAGGAGCAAAGTAACCATTAGTAAACAGTCTAGGAAATCTGAATACATCTGCACGTCAATGTGATCTTCTGTTCATCCCTTGTACTGATTCTAACATTGATGGGTTTTTGCGGACAATGTTTTAATGCTAGCTGTTGTAAGTAGTCACTGTGGTTTCAGCATGATGCTTGCTGTATGGAGTTTGCAGTATCAGTTTGACGCATAAGCCTTTCGAAATTAATTCAACTTGACTGAATTTTACTTTCCTCTCTTCTCTCATGCTTAAATTTCTTGCTTGTGTTTAGTATGATGCGCAAGAGAGTTGAAGCCCGCCGCGTTCCAACTCTGAGGGATGTGCATCCACACACGAAATGGAGTTTATGTCTCAGAGTATACCACAAATTCCACATTGAACGAATTGGCTTTGGTAGGAGGAGACTAAACTTGGTCATGTTGGACACAGAGGTAAAGCTCGGGACATCTTTTTTTCCTATAATGATTAACCATTTTGTTTATTCCTTGGAATTTTAAGCTGAAAATAGTAGGAGAAGTGCCTAATATGCTATAAAGAACAGAGTGGCAAATACATTAAAAAAAGACAGGGAGCACAAGAAAAAGTATTCACCTTTGGACATGGTCTGTATGCTTTTCTCTGCAAACAAAAAATCGTGTTTTATGTTTCCGCTCATTGATTTCAGCATGCCTGAAACCAGATGCAACTCCACCTTCCTCTGGTACAAAACTGGAAAAAGTAGGAAATAATTTTCTCAGTCTCATTTCCCTGTACTTCACAGTATTAAACACCACGTCCACCAAGAGTAACATATAATTCCACAGCCTTGATTGCAGCTTTACCAGCTTCATCCTTTTCATTAATTAAAATGCAACAAGTTTGCTACTTCTATGACAGTCTATTGACATGAAAGCCTAAAGGAATATTTCGATATTGTAGCACATCATGTGGATTTTTTATGTTAAACTGTATGGAGTATTGGACATGAGATATTTTGTCTGATCAGTTCATTCAGGTATCTCTTTTTTCTTAATAGCATTTTTCATCTCAAATGGTGCTTTTTAACCAATTATTTTTAATTACTATATGCAGGAGGACATGAAAGAATTTCGACGAAAATTAGCTGTCATACTGTTGGAAACAGAACTTAATACGTTAAAAGGAAGTCCAATATATTATCAGCCTGACAATGAAGAAAATGTATCTGATTCTGATGTTGAGTTTCTGGAGGATCGAAAGCGTAAGCGGCAAGATTCACCCGATGGAGCCAAAGACAAAAGCCCCCTTCCGAACCCTATCATCGCCGCGGACCCGCAAGATTTAGTTGACGAACTATGCAACCACATCATGTTAATTAATGATGCTGATTCCCTGGAGTAAGCAACATGTCTAAGAAGTATAAAGTTTCAATGTACACTATTAGAATGTTACAATTATTAACAGTTTGTTACCTACAGGAAGGAGTGGGTGCGAAGCTCTAAACCCCATCTGATAGGATTAAGTCTCAGAAGGATTCAAGGTATACTCCACAGGGATCAGCCGTTGGACATTGATTGTTTCAACATGGCTATACGTATACTTGCATGTGACAAGGCCTTACTGCCAGTAGATCCTCCAGTGCGCTTTATGGATCTACAATTTTGTGTAAGTTACTCCAGATCACAAACTATATTAATATTGTCACCATCATGTTTATTAACCATTTTTTACCTAGACGTCCGTGATCGAGGCCGCCCTCGCTTCCGCACGAGATTTAGATTCGCGGGTACAGCCAGATATTCAGGCGCTAGCATCGTTGCTCCGTAGCTCGACTGAGATAGACAACATATCATCATGCAATTGGGTAAGTTTGGTCTATTTTATATGGTTGTCGTGATTAATGTTTGTTCTGAATGAGTGTTGCTTGCAGATATTGCTCCCTCATGCATTCCTCGGCCACTACATCTTGTTCGCAATCGACAAACATTCACGTCAAGTAACTATTTTGGACCCACTATTTCCGCCCTTATCCCCAGAGAGATATGCGTTAAAATTTCAGAGGGTTGCATTCTACCTGAATGATGCACTCGAATTAGCACAACCGGGTTGGAAGTCTGATACATTTGCCTGGCCACGTAAATCACCAATTGATGTTCCGATGAGCCTAGACCGGTCAGTTACTCTGAAAATCACTATGCATGTTTTAGATTTATTGTCATAACCTCCGAAGATAATGATAGTGTATTCATCTACAGGAATGAATCTGGTTATTTTGTTTTCAATTATATGCTCTGGCATGGTAACAAATTTGTTCGTCCAATTTGCACGGTGAGTGTTCTATATCACACGTTCATAAAAAGTTTGAAGCAAAATTGCATCCTAACATCATGCATTGCTCATGTAGGATGGTTATGAGTTGAGAAAGAATATTTTGATACACTTGCTCGAGCATGATGCGAATGAAGCCGAAGACAATATCCCATATGATGTACGAGAAATTCTCAAGTGCCTCAAGTAGGAAGTTAATAAGAGATGATAAACTGGACTTGATATCTACGCATTGGTAGTCACACTGTACTTTTTTTTATCAAAATTTATTTTCCATCTCCATGGATTTGTTTACTGTATTTGCCATATGTTGTGGCTATTTATTTATAGACATGAATTTTGCGATGCAATATGTTTTGGAGACTGAAAAAATTAAGCTCCGGCACAACACAGATGCAGTCATTATCTTCTTTTCAATTTTATTATGCTCTCTGGGTTGGTAACAAATATGTGCAAAAGGCATGTAAAATATATAGTCTTCCGGCTGTCATAAAACTCTTCGGTCGGTATCCACCGACCCATTGCTGTCAAACCCTACCTATATGAATTTGCATGCTACTTAATAATGCATGTGTAATTCACGTTGTACGGGTCTGGACAAGGGAATGGCCATAAAAATTGACGTGTTTGTTTTCTAAATATATGCAAAGACAGGCTTGTTTGTCTTTTCTTGATTTGTAATATTTTCCGGTGCAATCAAACTATCTTTATATGCATGTTATTCTCATATATACTTGGATATTAGTCGAGACGTGTATATATATATAGCGGCTACTGCTTCTGGTCGCACGTCGTTAATAATTTTGCATAAAAGCCCTTCCGTTTTCGAGAATTCAACCCGCGGTCCTTATTTATGTGGATATGAGAAAACGTTTTGTTTTTACAAAAAGAACCCTATGTTTGTGAGAAATCGACCCGC